AAACACTGCCATGTAACTAATCTCACCAGCCTCTTGGGTATGGGGTCAATGGAAGGTAAATGTGTGTGATCCTTTAACATATGTCCAGAGGGGTCATGACTTTAGGTGGTTCACCACATGTACCTTGGACATGAGTGTCTTTCTATAGATCCCCTAGGGAACACTGAAAGACACCATGTTACTTTGATGAGATAGGACTCCAACCCTGAGACTAAGATAAAAGCTGCATGAGCTGTTACACTGCAGCTCACTCGGATGATACTCTCTGATGTGTATGTGTCCCCGTGAGTTCCTTCTGCAGAAGACTTGAATAAAATTCACAGAAAGACAAGTGTTTGCCTGAGCTGTTTATTTGAAAACTCGAATTGCCATCAAACACACAGCCACCAGTCAGCTCAGGAAATATCTGTGAAACGGCGTTTCAGACCAAACGCACATGTCCGAAAGAGGCCCAGTCTGTCCCGAGTCGCAGCCTGGTTGCAGGCTACGGGAGTGGGGAACTCCAGGGATGTCGGGGAATTACTAAGCTTGTCTATTAAACACTTAATGAGAGGCAACACTTGGTTTTATTTTCGTTGGCCAACTTTTGAACTGAACCCCACACTGAGTATTTTTTGTTTGCTTACTGGGATACAGAAAGGCTCCTAGGAGATTTGAACTGAGATAAGGACGCATTAATTGGTGGTTGAACTGTTGAACTATTTTGTATTGAGCACTTACTGTGGTGAGTTAATGTTAGTTTTTCTTGTGGTCTGTAGGTAGGCCGACCTGATGATATTATATCATATTATTTAATGCAATGACTTGACTCAAATGATTTTCTCATATTATTACAATTTGATATATCTTCTCCACCATTGCTCATAATAATAATTCTACCTAATTCATCATAACACAGGCCTGACCCACAAGAAGGAACAGAGTATGATAAATCTATCTAATATTGTGTTGGTCATACTATACACTGATTTACTGCTTGTCCATTACACAAGGTAAAGAGCTTAAAAATGAATCGCATATTAAATCGCAATCTTGGTAAAAAAAATTGCTATTAGATTATTTTCCAAAATCGTTCAGCCCTAATAGCAATGCTCCAAGGTACAAATGCACCTGGCTTTTAAAGGGAATGGGAGATGACACATGTTTGGTTCATGTTACACCCAAAACACACCCATGACTAATCGTTAAAATAGGGCCCTAGACCTGTATTTTTGGTCAATTGCTTCTCAAGATAGCAATGTGACAAAAATTTACCTGACCACACTTTTTAAGACCAACACTCCCATGGGCGCACAGATGGACGCAAGTATTTAAACAACATGGGCGAGAAAATGACAACTGCATCGGTTGGAAACTCACAATGTCACTTGCGCTGCTTTGCTCCGGGTGCAAGATAGGACCCAACATGTCACATTCTCACATACTCATACAGTGAAGCTGCCATGCAAAGTACCATTTGCCCTTAGAAAGAAACTAATCATTCACATATACTCACGCGCACACCAGGAGCAATTTGGGCTCAGTATCTTGCCCAAGGGCACTTTGACATGCAGACCAGAGGAGCCACCGGTCAAATCAAACAATATAAATTTTGGACAGAAAAAAACAACTAACCTGCTCCTTTTCTGGACAGAAGGACTCAGAATTATCCAAATCTGAAAGAGAGACAAACAAACCCCAAAATATTAGACCACAGCATCACACTATCACCACTGGATAGACATGTGCATGCAGAAATGCCAATGCATTTCTCTTGTCCTCTGCAGTGTTGTGTGTTCTTGATATGAGAGAACACAAATAAACAAGGTGCCACAGTTGGCTGTGCTACTTTCTGACCAATATGTTTGTCTGTTTCTGTGTGTATATACACATATACATCACCTGCTGTCAGGCCAGGTGATGTATCTTTCATCATCTCTGGGTTGTTGTGATCCATCCCAGACGATACAGCAAAGCTGTAAACAGACGACCTCTCCATTAGTAGTGTTTCATTCTGCCATCAGAGATGCTTTTCAGGCTGGGGTGTTTGTGTGTGTATGATAGGGTTGTCTCATTTGTAACTCAGCAAAGTGTCACAGCTGGACATTGTGCCTAAAATATTAATATTTTAAGCCTTGATGAAACGGCGTTACAAAAAGATTTTTCTCATCAGAACAATCATTTAGACACCAGCCAAACCACCAAACGATGTCTGTACTTCTTCTTTTTAATTCTATGACACTGAAACACATTTCATCACCTGTGTTGTTTTTTTTCTTTGGTTTATTTAACAGGGAAAGTGCACATTCATATTTCAGATAGCATTGCTGTAAATGTTCCCGAGCTAGCTAAGAGGCTGCTTTTCATCTGTAGCCCCTGGACAGATGTTTCAGAGTGGCCCTGCTCTACCTGCTGCCAACTTGGAACTCCCTGTTCATAATAGTTTTAGAATGGTCAACAGTGCTCCGTGTTTGCCTGATTTCCAGGACAATTTTGAGGTACTTTTGTACTTTACTTGAGTATTTCCATGTGATGCTACTGTATAGGCTACCTATATTCCCCCATATTTCAAAGGGAAATATTGTACTTTTTACTTCACTACATTTACCTTACGGCTACAGTTACTTTACAGATCCAGATTTCAAATCAAAGTAATGAATCAAGTGTGATTGTTATAGATTGTTGCTACTAACACTAACACTAAAATTGATGCATGCAAATATAACACTGACAGGGCAATTAATTAGTTATGATGGGAAGTATTTAAATGCTCCGTAATTGTATAGCGCCTTTCTAGTCTTTTTGAAAGCGCTTTTACACTTCACACAGCATCTGCATTCACACACAGCCTAAGTGCTCAAACAGAAACTAACATTCACACACATTCATACACTGAACACGGAACAGCCGCCAGGGGAAATTCGGGGTTCAGTATCTTGCCCAAGGACACTTCGACACGCAACCAGGGGGAGCCAGGGATTGAACCGCCGACCTTCCGATAACGGCCAACCCGCTCTAACTCCTGAGACACAGCAGCCCCATTTATAGTAACTTTAGCACATCATAGTAACTTTAGCACATCTTTGAATCTAAGACTTGTTATGGTGTATTTTAACATCACTGTAATGCTCCTTTTTTGTTAAGGATCAGAATAACGTCCTTCTTCCATTACTGCAAATCACAGGAGATTGCTAATAACGTTACCTTTTTATTTTAACAGTGGCACTGATTTCACCTGTGACTGTGGCAAAGAACCCACAGCATCCACTTCACCACGACGTAAGCTTTCTTAAAGTAGATGTTCCTAAAAGGAACGGCTTTGACTGGTTTAAGTAAAAAATCCCGAGCTAATGTTCACTATCTTCAAGGCATTATTCTTACTCAACGGCAGACATGGCGTCCAGCAAACCACCCCTTGTGCATTCTGGCGACACAACAGAAGAGCTGTTTTCACCGCTGACTTGTCTTTATTCATTAATGAGGAGCTGGAAGCTTCACATTAAGTTAACGTTGGTGTCAGTAATTCCGCAGAAGAACCGTTGTCAACAGTCGGTGCAGCTCAGCTTTCTTTTCCGTGTCTAAGTTACTAACTCATGTTTATCAGATTCCTTCACTCGAACGGCCGCCGATAGACAAGTATGATAGTACTGATTTACGCCTTTTCTAAGATGTACTTGTTAATCCCCAGCTCGTGAAGGGAGTGTGGTTTAAAATAGCATCTGCTAGCGAGGCCTGAAAACACAGGATGTAGCAGCAGCCAATCAGGAGAAAGCGTCCCCGGTTGTTATGGAAAACAGCGAAGCTATGATGGGCCTTTCCGAAACTTCTTGCAACTCCTTCTCCCTACCTACTTCCACTCTGCTTGCGCGTTCATGCAGAGGGTCCGCCACATTGAGTGCCATCCGAAACCAATGAGGGCGGAGTGGTAGTGGGTTGTTGAACCCTCCAATGCCGAGTGAGCACCGATGCAGGCTTGTTGAAGGTGTGTAACACCCTAAGCCGCACGATGGGGGACATTTCTTTCAAATTTGAGTTCCGTGTGACTTCGCTGGTTAACATGTAGGATTTTTAAATTCCGAAACTACACTAACATTTGGACGTCTTTAGGCCTATTTTAGGAGGGCTGAGGCCACAGTAATCCTTCTGGTTGTTTCCTGTACTTCATAATTTAAATTCCTTCTGTGGTCGGGCACTAGGACTAGGGAGGCTGCCTTTCATCGCTGCTCTGCCGAGCTGCAGAGCGACGGTACTACACACACACAGATGCTGAAGAATATGGGGTTCCGTTTGTGCCAAAAATAAGTCGGCAAGCTTATTGTCTATGTCGATGCTTCACATGACTGTGTCAACTCAACTTGTTTATCTCGTCTCTTGCCCTCCTTGTCCTTTGACTGTGATGTCTTCCTCTGTATTTGCTAACTGTGAATGGCCATGTGTCGTTAAAATGTGTCGTCTCCCTCTGTCGGTGCTTCGCCGTTACTACATGTTGTCTCCCCCTGTCGTTGCTATGTGTCGTTACTACATGTCTTCTCCCTCTGTCGTTGATATGTGTCCTTTCATTCTGTCGATGTGATTGTCCTCCTGATGTGTGGACTTGTGTTGACCAAATTTCCGAGCTACATTAATATGACCAGGCTAAAGGCGATTTTAATTTATTGAAACATATGCTTTAATGGGCTACATTATAGGCTAATTATAAAATGTTAATAATGGCATTACTATTAATCTAATAGCGCATTACCGTAGTTATTCATTTTCTCAAAATTACAATATAAATACCAGATTAACAATCTTCATCATCCATTGTAACAATACCATTAGCTCCCCAAAGTAGAGATTAGTTTATTCTCATAACCAGACCTCAACAAGTACTTTACTATAGAATTCACTGTACACCTCATTGTAGTTTGGGGACGTCACTTCACTTAAAAGTAATGTGATTAAAAAGTCCATTTGTGTCTATGTTTTATTGTATTCCCAAAAAATCTGGTCTCTGTTTTGAAACATTCTCATTACAGTAAACAAAAAACTGAGGCTGTGCTACAAAGATGGACAGTAGATATCAGCAGAGGACACATAGTTACAGACCGGTTGTATTTGAGTCACTGAAGTGGAAAAGCCACTTTGCCATAAAGTAAGAAAGGATCTCACACACTGAAAAATCTGCTTTATGAAAAAACAATTGTTTTTAGGGCCCGAGCACAACCGTGCGAGGTCCCTATTGAATTTGCTCGGATTATTAGGGCCCGAGCACGACCGTGCGAGGTCCCTATTGAATTTGCTCGGATTATTAGGGCCCGACCACGACCGTGCGAGGTCCCTATTGAATTTGCTCGGATTATATTTAGGGCCCGAGCACGACCGTGCGAGGTCCATATTGAATTTGCTCGGATTATTAGGGCCCGAGCACGACCGTGCGAGGTCCCTATTGAATTTGCTCGGATTATTAGGGCCCGAGCACGACCGTGCGAGGTCCCTATTGAATTTGCTCGGATTATTAGGGCCCGAGCACGACCGTGTGAGGTCCCTATTGAATTTGCTCGGATTTTTAGGGCCCGAGCACGACCGTGTGAGGTCCCTATTGAATTTGCTCGGATTATTAGGGCCCGAGCACGACCGTGCGAGGTCCCTATTGAATCTGCTCGGATTATATATATTTAGGGCCCGAGCACGACCGTGCGAGGTCCCTATTGAATCTGCTCGGATTATTTTTTTTTTTTTTTTTTTTTTTTTTTTCTGCAAAGTAGGCCCAAATGACATGGCCTAAACATACTCGAAAACTCACCAAAATTTGCAAACATGTCAGAACCGGTGAAAAATTTCGTATTCTACAAGTTTCGCACATGGGCGTGGCAAAATGACTCGCTAGCGCCACCTTGAAAATTGGAAATGATTAGCCCCTCGTTCACGTTCAACCTACATGTACGAAATTTTCTGGGGACATGTATCGTATCAAGACGCACAAAAAAGCCTCAAGAACCCATAGCCTAAAGTCAACAGGAAGTCGGCCATTTTGAATTTTATGGCCATTTTTGGATGATTTACACACTTCGTACTTTAACGAACTCCTCCTAGGGATTTAGTCGGATCGACGTCAAATTTCTGCTGTGCCTTCTAAAGGCATTGACGATGAAAAGTTGTGCTATTTGCGAGTTTTCGTCAATGGGCGTGTCCGTGGCGTCGATGATTCGCTATGAAACAGGAAGTTGTTGTAACTTCAGTGTACATGCTCACATCTGGACCAAACTGTACATCTAGGATGAGAGTCCCGCCCTGAACACATGTACATGCCGACATTCACCCACAGTCATAGCGCCACCTGCTGGCAATAGAAAGTGACCTTTAACGAAGCAGCCCCCGCCGCACGTTTCACCTACGTGCACGAATTTTCTGTGGTACGTGTATCTTGTCCAGACGCACAAAAAAGTCTCTTGGAGCCATAGCCTAAACCAACAGAAGTCGGCCATTTTGAATTTTACGTCAAATTTTGGATGATTTACACACTTCGTACTTTAACGAACTCCTCCTAGGGATTTAGTCCGACCGACCTCAAATTTCTGCTGTGCCTTCTAAAGGCATTGAAGATGAAAAGTTGTGCTATTTGCAAGTTTTCGTCAATGGGCGTGTCCGTGGCGTGGCGTCAAAGATCAACTCTTCGCCATGACACGGAAGTTGTCGTAACTTCAGTGTACATGCTCACATCTGGACCAAACTGTACATGTAGGATGAGAGTCCCGCCCTGAACACATGTACATGCGACATTCACCCACAGTCATAGCGCCACCTGCTGGCAACAGGAAGTGACTTTTAACGAAGCAGCCCCCGCCGCACGTTTCACCTACGTGCACGAATTTTCTGTGGTACGTGTATCTTGTCCAGACGCACAAAAAAGCCTCTTGGAGCGATGCCCTAAAATCAACAGGAAGTCGGCCATTTTGAATTTTACGTCAAATTTTGGATGATTTACACACTTCGTACTTTAACGAACTCCTCCTAGGGATTTAGTCCGACCGACCTCAAATTTGTGCTGTGCCTTCTAAAGGCATTGAAGATGAAAAGTTGTGCTATTTGCAAGTTTTCGTCAATGGGCGTGTCCGTGGCGTGGCGTCAAAGATCAACTCTTCGCCATGACACGGAAGTTGTCGTAACTTCAGTGTACATGCTCACATCTGGACCAAACTGTACATGTAGGATGAGAGTCCCGCCCTGAACACATGTACATGCTGACATTCACCACAGTCATAGCGCCACCTGCTGGCAACAGGAAGTGACTTTTAACGAAGCAGCCCCCGCCGCACGTTTCACCTACGTGCACGAATTTTCTGTGGTACGTGTATCTTGTCCAGACGCACAAAAAAGCCTCTTGGAGCGATGCCCTAAAATCAACAGGAAGTCGGCCATTTTGAATTTTACGTCAAATTTGGATGATTTACACACTTCGTACTTTAACGAACTCCTCCTAGGGATTTAGTCCGACCGACTTCAAATTTGTGCTGTGCCTTCTAAAGGCATTGAAGATGAAAAGTTGTGCTATTTGCGAGTTTTCGTCAATGGGTGTGTCCGTGGCGTGGCGTCAGAGATCAAGTCTTCGCCATGACACAGGAAGTTGTTGTAACTTCAGTGTACATGCTCACATCTGAACCAAACTTTACGTGCTTGATAACTCTCCCACCCCGCTATGGAGGACCGATCCTGACACAGTCAGAAATAAATACAGAAATAAATAAATGCTCAATAAACAAATAAGCATCCAATTAAATACACAAAAAATTAAGTAAATAAATAAATGTAGGTAGTAATTAAATTATACAAGGAGACATAAATGTATATATTTTAATTAGTGCCTTTACTTATTCACCTTTGTTATAATTACCTTATTTGTTTATTCAACTTTATTTATTACTAATTTTTTAATGTATTTATTTATGTGTGTGTTTTAATATTTTTGTCTGTTTTATTCTCCTTTGTATTTATTTACCTTATTTATTTTCACCCATGGTATTTATTTCTGCCTGTCTTTTTAAATTTTTGTATGCATTTCTGCCTCATTATGCAAATGAGGAGGGGCTGTGTCTCAAGGGGTCATCTTCTCTGCTATTGGTGGACCAGTCAGACAGGAGAGCTCCTACTCTGCCTGCAGACATCAACGATCTTGCCCCTCACACAGTCAGATGGCTTCCTTCAGTGCGCTGAGGTGTTTAACAACTCTGAAGACAATACTACCAGCAATGTCTTCCTTCTCTTTCACGTAGAAGCCCGACAGACAGTGCTTTCAGTTTGCTGCATGCATGGACACAGAACTGCGGTATAGGGAGAAGCACACGGTCAGCTGGCTGCAGCTAAATCTGGAGTGCACTCGTATTCAATTCTGTATGGTAAATTCAGTTTTAACGGAGCAGAGCGAGCTGACAGGCAGAGTTAGAGACTTTTTCTGTCCGTTTCTCTCTTTACAAAGACGCATGTTGCAGTCAGAGTCTTCTCTGAGATGCGAGCACGACATACAACACAATTTATCAAATTACACAACGGATATACAGTATGAAAATAAGATTGATTGGATTATACTCACAGGAAGTATAAAACCTCTTACATGGGTCTATTAAAAGTAAAGTAACACAAAAATGTCAGGGAAATTACTTTACTTAGATTTAAGTACTGCAGTTGTACATTTGAAATACCTTCCTACCTTTCTGATAGGAAGCCTTCTTGAGGTGGTATAAAACATTTTCTTATATTCTGATTTGAGTTGTGGACAACTATGACCACATGAATTAAAAAAACATTTCACTGCCCAAGTCAGCTATAACAAGTCTTGATCATCAGACTACA